TGGTGGTGATGTCAAGGGAGAATTTCCTGAAGAGTGTCGAATACTGCAAAGAGCTAGAATATGACGAGGACCAAAAAGCGGATATGGGATTTGCAATTACAAAAGCTTCTAGCCAAAATGGCTTCACCACTGTAGTGGTGGTGGTAAACAGCAAGCGGCAAAGGATGGCGTTGGGTGCTTGAGGAGTTTGATTTTAAAAAGATCACCTTGAAGTGTTGCAGACTACTCCGCATAAGTGGAGAGTGCCAGGCAGTATGGTTATGCAAATTGCTCCAGCTGCACTTGGCAGCTCAGGCTCATAAACAAATGGAAATAGGCAGTGGAGCCAGAAATGGAAGTGAGGCAACAGGGCAGTGAAAGAGGGCATGAGGGCACAAAGGACTTTGTACTCTTCTAGACAGAAAAGCTGCCCTTGCTGGGAAGCTCGTAAAGATTTTTTCTTAAATCTCAAAAATTTGGAGGGCCCATTTGGCATTTCTTAAACAAAACACAAAGCCAGGGTTTACCTCTGTATTCTGTAAAGAAGAATTTGATAAACAGACAAATAACATTAACAAATTTAATTCAAAAGAATGAACTTTTTAAGTACATCAGAGGCACTGCTGGCACAGTATGAAAACTGATACACCAATTACTAATTACTCTTTACTCTTCACTCTTCAAGGTGAATCCGCCCCTCCAACTTCTATTTAGCAAATACTTTAATAGAGACTGTGTACAGAAAAGGAATAAAGGAGCATTTATTTATAATTCATTGTTCAGACTGGCTGCCATCCCAACCACACAAAAGGGAGGTTTCACTGGGCCATAACATCCAGCATTTGTATGTTTTCAAAGCACTCTAAACTGGTTCCTCACTGTTTTCACACTATCAGCAGGGAACACATTAGCATCCCCATTTGCCAGGTGGGAGAACCAAGGCCAGGAGAGGTGACCCAGCGTATCCCACGTCACCCAGATTTGCCTCCAACTCCGAGGCTCTTTCCTCTACACATTTTCCTGATCCGTGACCTCTTGGGAATTCTGGAACACCTTCTCCCCCTTTCTCATTTCTGACTTTGCAGACTGCACTAATGCAACTACTACTTAGTAACATAGGTCTGAAGCCTGCAGTCCCCCTGACCAATTTGGGTCTTACGCAAAGCAGCCCTTTCTGTAAAAGATTCTTAAGAAGCCCTTAACCTCCAGACCTGAGGGTCCCTATTGTCACTCAGCCAAGGTTGCCCTCTCCTCCAAATCCCCACCTCACCAGGATCACAAGGATACATGCAATTACTGCAAGAAATGTAGGCTTTTCTTGCAGTAAAATTAAAGCAGCTAATATTTATTGAGCACCTATTGATTGCCGTGGACTGTGAAGAACTTTACATATATTACCTTACCCTTGCAACAATCCAGCAAAAACAGGTGTTCTTACCCATTTTACAGATGAGGATATTGAGGTTTTCAGAAAGGCTAAGTGACTTGTCCAGAGTCACTCAGTTAGGTCCTGAGGCAGTATTCATAACTCAAGTCTGTCAGACTCTAGAATTCACTTTATTTGTACTCTACTACACTGCCCTGACTCACCACTCTGCAAGTACTTAGAGATCCACACCAACATGGAAAACAAAACATGAGGCGAGACAGGAGCTTTTTCATTTTCGCTGCCTGGCTCCCACCCCAGACTCTGGTGAAGCTAATTCCATGGTGTATCACTGGGCCAACAGTCCCACAAGCCCGGGGCCCTGGGAAGCTGACAAGAGTCAAAGGGCCCCCTGGCAGGCTTGTCCTGGCAGTTGCCCAGCTAACTTGTGCTAACACAGCAACAGGCACAGGAAAGGGTCTAGAGAGAGTGGAAAAGCACCAGACACTGAGCCGCTGAGGGGAAAGAAGTGATTCCTGTCGTGTTTGGACAGGATAACCCTGCTCTAAAGCCACCACCATCACTGGCCCAGGAAGAGACCTAAGTGGGGAGTAGGGGGGAAGCCCGAAGCACACCTACTTACTAATGTATTTCAGTGAACTGTGACCGTTAGGCTAGTCAAAAAGAGGATCACATGCCTCCAAGGTGAATCAGCAAGCATGGAAAAAAACCAGCCCATACCCTGGTTCATCCCAGCCACCCTAACCTATCCTTGCCCACATTCACATAAACCTTGCTACTTAAATACACCCAAGAAGAGGCAAGAGACCATGCACTATCTTATAGCCACCACAGCAAGAGCACTTATCAGCCAGCCCGTGGGAAAGATCTAGCTGGGAATATTAATAGACTTGCTAGAGGCAGAAATTCAGAGGACATGCCCTAGGAAATGAAATTATTTAAAAGGAAACACAATCAAAGTGAGACTGAAGGAGGGAGCAACCTGAATTTCCAAAGATGGGCTTCCTCAACCAGGCACTGCAGGGAGGTACACCAGCGGAGACAGGGTTGTTATAAAATATCCAAAAATGCAAAAATGTCTCTGGGAAAATTTTTTGGTATTGTTTCTGTAGACTTTCCATCCTCAAATGTTTTGCTTAGGTTGATATTAAACTGCATATGTGCAGGATGCCCAAAAGGGTTTTAGGGAAATCATTCTAGGATCTAATAATTGCCATAAGTTGTTAGAGTGCTATAAAAACCTCTCCAATATCATTAGAAGGTGGGGTCAGTCTGAGAGGTCACAAATTGGGTCAAATTAGCCCCCGGGTATGTTAGCATGTTAGAATTTTTAAAAATGAATTGTCAACATACAAAAATCAAAAGTTTCCACACACATACACACACACACATAAAGTGAATTTCTAGCATTTTCTGGAAAAGAATTGGAAAATCTGGTACCACTGAGTGAGCAGCACCGATTGGAAGCTGAATCGCCACTGCCCCCTTTCGGCAGGCCTGTGCATTCTAGTTCCCAGCCTGGCCAGCCTGGAGGCTTTTTTTTTTTTTTTTTTTTTTTGTGACCGGTAAGGGGATCGCAACCCTTGGCTTGGTGTCGCCTGCACCGCGCTCAGCCAGTGAGCGCACCAGCCATCCCTATATAGGATCTGAACCCACGGCGGGAGCACTGCTGCGCTCCCAGCGCCGCACTCTCCCAAGTGCGCCAAGGGGCCAGCTCACTGGAGGTTCATTTAAATCACCTGACTGAACCCTGTAAGCATCAGGATTTGCTACTGCTGGTTTAGCCCAGGGAAGCGTTCCCAGGCTTGGTAATGTGTAGAACTGCCACAGGGGGGCGGCACTGGTAAGTCGAGAAGGCATGCCCACCAGCCAGTGCCTATAACCAGAAACTAAGCTTAGCAGATCCTTTCAGAACCAGCACTTCAGTAACAATCTTTCCCCACACTCCCCATCCCTTTCTTGGGAAGCAACAGTAGGTCATTTCAACATTCTCACTAGGCCTCAGCAACCCTGAGAGGAAGCCACTGACTTGATTTGCTCCGTCCTTCTCTCAGGCCACCTTCCATGTCCTCCCAGCACCTCCCACTCCACAGCTGGCATCTCTATCAGTTCAGGAATTCTACCCTCAACCTCTTGTTAATACCATCGGGCAGATTCATTCTTCATCAAATGCTCATGACTTCCCTTTGTTAAGGTTAAACATCAGTCAGCTTCATGAGGCAACAGGTTCTTATGCCTCATCCTGCCCTCTGATATCATCCCCTTACAACTTCACCAGCAACATCTTAAATGGTAATATTTAGTATAAACTCCTACAGCTCTGTAGAAAAGACATTTGGTACTATGCATGGAGACCCTTAAAACTGCTCATCACATTGCATCCTAAATGCCATTTACTGTTCCTACCATTTACTCCAAAATGAAGGAAAACCTCTGTATGTATAAGATATTCACTGAAGTATTTACTCTAGTGAACAACCAGAAACAATTCAATGTCCAGCAATAGGGAAATTGTTAAAGATGAATTTATGCTATATTACTACTTGATGAGCAATTATGCAGGTATTGAAAACAATTAGGATGACTATAAGACAGGAAAATGATAATATGTTTTAAAGTAATATAAAATCAAATGTACAGTAATAACTAGTTTTAAAAACTATGCAGAGAATTAGTGAAAGACAATAAAAATGTTAATAGTGATTGTATTAAAGCACTGGCAGTGTGTACCTTTTATACCTTTTAAAAATCCCTATCAAATTTTCTTTAATGTGCATATATTACTTTTATAGGGAAAAGCTTATGTGTGTGGTCTTTTCCAATTTAGACTTTGGAAGGTGCTACAGCCTCTTGTTATCATGATAAAAAGGTTCTTGGGAACCTGTGCCTCCAGAATTTGGTCCAACCATGCTAATGAGACAAAGCTTCCAGGGCCCCCCGAGTCCTTAGTTAAACACCAATGTTATCCTACCCTAAACTGCCTGACCTTGCCTAACTCCTAAGGAGACCCCAAACACCATCTGAAACATAGGATTTGATCAATATGGTTCTCAGATGCCACTTTAATCAAGCTTTGCACCATACAGTGTTGAGCGTGGAAGATGGTGATTGTTTTCAAGCAAATTCACCAAGCACATGTTCCTCCCTGCCCCAAGGTGAATAGCCTGAGCTTCCAAGAACAGAAAAATGCTTTCTTTCCCCAGGGAATCCCATTCCTGAGCTGGCAGGACAAAATTTCAGGAAGAATGACCACAAAGGAGAGGAAAAACTAGTGAAGGGAACCAGCTGGATTCTTGAATTCTTCCCAGTGAAAACTGGAACTAGACATATAGGTATCCCTCCTAATGGCAAAACCCAAATCCCAGCCATTCACACTGGAAGCCAAACCATCTCCCCATGAAGACTGACAGGCAATGTTCGTTTCATAACACTCATCCTGGCAGTGCACCTATAAGCTCGGAAGCCTGAGCAATTGTGGCCACCACATGACAGATGCAGCCTTCAGGCTAGAACCCTCCAGGGCCTTCCTCTTCACTGGCCCCTCAGCTGCTGCTGTGTCTGCCTGGCCATAAAGGAGCAACCAGTATGTGTATGGCTGTGTGGCATGGAAGGGGCCAGAATAAGCAACAAAGCAAATCAGAGGTGGGTTCCAGGGCTGGGTTGACATGGTGGCAGGACCAGACATGGCACACAGTAGGACCACAGGGCTCTGCGTCTTCCATTAATTCTTCTCTGGGCGGTTTCTGTTCAGAACAGCTTTGGGGGCAAATTCTAGTTTGTCCTTAAGGCTCACCACCTGGGTGTGGTCCTTGCCTAGCAGCTCATCCAGTTTGCGATCCTCCCGACGCTCTGAGATGCTCTTTTCCTCCTCCACAGGCTGGGGATCTTTTCCCCTGATGAACCATTCCAGGTGGTAGCCCACAGCCCCGACCACAAAGGCCACAGGAAATGTGACGTAGGGAGCATAGGTACGTACCACGGTCCAAAGCACAGGCCACATGACATCTATAGAAGAACACAAGGCAGCATTAGAAAGAAACCACCACCCCCTTTCACCAAATATGGACAACCCACCAGGGTTCTCCACTTACCAGGCAGCTTGGCATAATTTAATGAGCATCCACCCCATGCAGAGTAATGCAAGAGGGTACCTTGCTTTATGCAACAGTTGGGTCCCTGAAATAATCTAGGAAATTTGGAAAGATTAACTGTTAGGGAAGTGGGGGAGAATCTCTTACGTATTAGATTATTTGACAATTGTCCACCTATATATATGGCAATGTTCCCTGCAAGAGGACCTCTGAGCCTTATGTAATAGAGCTTCAACCTTCCCTCTACAGTTTGCCAACATTTCAGGAGGGGAAAAGAAGCCTACGAAATTTCTCCATGAGCACAGCCAGCCACCCTTTCCCCACACACACACAATCCCACTGTGAATCTCCTTGTTTGTTCATTCATTCATTCATTCATTCATTTATTGACCCAAACCCTTGCCCTTGGTGTTACAAAGCTGCACTCTAACCAGCCGAGCTAACTGATCACCCAGGAGCATATTTAAACAGCCAAAACCATGATCCATTACCTAACTACCCTGTATTTTAGATAAATAATGATTTTATCCTATTCTGAACTTGGCTTTTCTAACAATGGGACAAACCTATACTTTACAGATCTGCTAACCAAACCACTTTCAAAATATACAATCGTTGGGCCGGCCCGTGGCTCACTCAGGAGAGTGTGGTGCTGATAACACCAAGGCCAAGGGTTCGGATCCCTATGTAGGGATTGGGCCAGTTAGCTCACTTGGGAGAGCGACAACACCAAGCCAACGGTTAAGGTCCCCTTACTGGTCATCTTTTAAAAAAAACCTTAATTGGGCCGGCCCGTGGCTCACTCAGGAGAGTGTGGTGCTGATAACACCAAGGCCATGGGTTCAGATCCCTATGTAGGGATTGGGCCAGTTAGCTCACTTGGGAGAGCGACAACACCAAGCCAACGGTTAAGGTCCCCTTACTGGTCATCTTTTAAAAAAAACCTACGGTGTTGACAACACCAAGTCAAGGGTTAAGATCCTCTTACCAGTCATCTTTAAAAAAAAATAAATAAATACAATCATCAACCAAACCCATATCTTCACATTTGCATAATAAGTTCCTGAAAATATCACAAGCTGTTATACATGCTCTAGACACCCTAGGACTTGAAAAATCTCTACAAAAACCACTATACAAACCATGGCAGGAGGAAAAAGCAGAAGCGGAGTTGCCACAGGGCCTCCTGGAATATAGTATGACAATACCAAAGTAATGTAAGAACATGCAAATTGGCTCACTCTAATGGCCATTTAGTCTCAAATGATTATCATTATTAACAATTATCAAAGATCATTCATAATTATCATAATAATGATAGCTACCATTTATTGAGCACTTATGTGCTAGGCCTCAGGCTAAACACTTTATATACACTCTCTCTTTTATTCCTCATGTCCACTCTGTGAGGTATGGTATTATCAAAGGATTAAGTTACTTGCCCAAAAGTCTCAACTGAGAGATTTTTGTGCCTCTATAGGTATTTCTCCAACACTGCTATCCCTAGTCTAAAGTGAACAACTGAAGCCTCAACAAGGATAGGATGACTCTCTTCCTCTCTTTGGTTCCAATTCTCTTTAGAGGAATCTCAGTGTTTAGCAGACCTAAGACTATAATGGACCATCATGAGAAAAAAGAAAAGAAGTGCAGCAGCTCCAAGATTCCCCTCCTGGCCCTTTGTCTTAGGCACCAGTCACTATGCTAGACAATTTTACACACTGGTCATCATATGATCCTCAAAATGCCTCTATGATGTAGGAATTATTAGCCCAGGTTTTTGTCTAAAGGCTGCAAAAGCTCAGAGACATTATGTTAACTTGCCTAAGGTCACTAGAAGCCATAGAGCCCTGATTTTGAACACAGGTCTCTCCAACTTAAAAGCCCATGCTTTTTCTAGTGCTAGTGGAAAAAACACACTGCAGATAGGTGTATGGTTTCTGTCCAAATCCTAGACAGGGAGAGCTTCCTGCAGTTTTTTCCCATCAGCTTGGCATTTCAGTACCGAGAAGCGCTGCTTTTTTTGCAAACTCTGAGATTACACTGAGATTTGTGAAATTCTAAGATTTATAAATTAGAAGACCCACCCCTGAAGAATCCCAAACCTAATACTTCTACGTTTTATTTCCCACCTTTTAAGCAAGTTCTCTCTTTATAAGTAAACATTTTTCCTAAACAACAACTCATCATTCAGATTTCCAGTTTGTCCTAAAACATATCAAGCATGAGTCCACAACTAATATAATCACACACAGCACAAGTCCTGCTCACATTCTAATCATTCCCAAATAAGTCAACTAATTCATTTATTCAACACTTGTAACCACTTTCTCTGTGTCAGGCACCGTGCTGCTTTACCCCTCTTGTCTGCATTTCTCAAAACTCCTTAAGCTCCAAGAGAGCATGGACCATGTCTGTCTTGCCCCCACTGTGTACTTATCCATCCCCCCACCCCTTCCACCCTGCCTGGTCCAAAGTGCTCAAAAAGTTTGTTGAATAAATGAATGAAAGCTCAGGCAACTCACTAGTGAAAAAACACAGCATTCATCCACCCATCCTTCCTCAAAATGTGGCAGGAACACAAGAGGCCTTTCCTGATTACAAGAAGCCAGACCATCCAACAAGTCATCCCCAGGGTATCAAAATGAAAGAGGCAAAACTGTCTGGCAAAGACTGTGACGCTTATTTCCTGCCTAGCATGGAGGGAGCCTGCCAGGGCGTCCGGTAAAGGTCAACTGGGTTGCCTGGAAACCTGCCCTTGTGTCTGGGCTCCGGAGGCCCACTGAGACCCGAAGCCGCAGTTCCGAACTCGAGAACTACTAACAAGGACAGAGGAGGCCTGAGAAGGTTAACGAATTAACCCTGACAGTCACTGGAACCCAGTCCAGGGATTGGAGCACAAGCGAGGTCAGGGTCCAAATAGCTACCCTTCTCCCTCCTCTGGGCTCCCGGTCCCCTACCCCTATCCCACCACACTCATGGCCTCAACAACCTCGGTCCTCACTCAGGGGCCGGAGGCGAGAAGCCCCGGCCGCAGAGGCCCAGCTGGGCTCACAGACATGGCATCGGAGAGCCGGAAAGTGAGAGAGCCGCCACGCCTGCCCAGGGCTGGAGCACACACTGCCGATCACCTAACTCAGAGGTTACGGCCTGGAACCGTCGCCAGGGAACGGGCGGCCCAGGCAGCCGCTCCGGGGAAGGAAGCCGCTCGCCCGGGCCGCGTGCTTACCTGCAGCCCAAGCCGCACTCCCCTGTCCGGTCCCCGCTCTCCGCCCGTTAGCCGGGAGCACGGACGTCGCCGCTCCCAGCGGCCCGCGAGGCGTCGCCCCGTGACCCCGCCCACTGACCGCCGGCTCTCTCGGAGCGCAGGGATTGGCTGAGCTCCAGCCAAAGGACGGGAGAAAGCTGGGCGTCGGAGACCGAGCCCCGCTGTGCTGAGATGACACAGCGCCCCCTGGCGGTCAGGAGGTTTCCCAGTGACGTCGCCACGTGCATTTCGCGTGGGGAAAGTGAAAGATCATCCATTCATTTATTCAACTGACATTAAGCGTCTTCTGAGACATAGGTCTGGGCACACAAAAACAAAAGACATCATCCCTGACTTCTTAACCGAGTATAATCTAGTGCTTTAAGACCTCTTTGGATCCGGGCTAGCTTTCTAGCTGCGTGACCTTGGGAACATTATCAATCTGTCTGAGAATCCCTGCCCTCTTCTGTGTAGAGGTAGTAACACCCATTTTGCAGGGATGTCGTGAGAGTTAGGTGAGATAATGTATGTAAAGTACTGTGCTAGGCACACAGCAAGCAAAGAAATAGATGGTTAGCTATCCTAAGTCTACAAATAATTTAAATATAGTAAAACCTAAGTTTTACATGACCCCCCAGATACAAGTGTTAAATAAAAATTACAGGAGTCTATTGTTTTGGACTTAGTTTCTGCACTAGGCCCCCAAAAAACAGATTAAAAATCAAAATGGTGGGGCCGGCCCGGTGGCGCACTGGATAGTGCGCCGCTTGGGAAGCGCGGCGACACTCCCGTCCGAGGGTTCGGATCCCACGTGCAGACCGGCTCCCGCTCACTGGCTGAGCGAGGCGCGGGAGCAACACCGAGGCTTGCGATCCCGTTGCCGGTCCCCGGTCCGGTACGGGGACAACACTGAGGGTTGCATCCGGGCTAGCTTTCTAGCTGCGTGACCTTGGGAACATTATCAATCTGTCTGAGAATCCCTGCCCTCTTCTGTGTAGAGGTAGTAACACCCATTTTGCAGGGATGTCGTGAGAGTTAGGTGAGATAATGTATGTAAAGTACTGTGCTAGGCACACAGCAAGCAAAGAAATAGATGGTTAGCTATCCTAAGTCTACAAATAATTTAAATATAGTAAAACCTAAGTTTTACATGACCCCCCAGATACAAGTGTTAAATAAAAATTACAGGAGTCTATTGTTTTGGACTTAGTTTCTGCACTAGGCCCCCAAAAAACAGATTAAAAATCAAAATGGTGGGGCCGGCCCGGTGGCGCACTGGATAGTGCGCCGCTTGGGAAGCGCGGCGACACTCCCGTCCGAGGGTTCGGATCCCACGTGCAGACCGGCTCCCGCTCACTGGCTGAGCGAGGCGTGGGAGCAACAGCGAGGCTTGCAATCCCGTTGCCGGTCCCCGGTCCGGTACGGGGGCAACACTGAGGGTTGCGATCCGTTGCCGGACACGGAAAAAAGACAAAAAAAAAAAAAAAAAATCAAAATGGTGTCATCCCTACTGAGTTCCACGTCACCAAACCTACACTAAGTTGTGGTGTGACCTTCCAAGAAATCAGGAGAGAGAGCCAATTTCCCAAAGAGGCCAGCTTATATCTTCCATAGGCATGATAATGAAGTTCCCTCTGCTTTAATCCTTACACAAAAAGGATAGCCTGAAGTAACCTGATGTTAAATAATCAGTTATTTTTCTATTGTTCTGTCTCCCTGTCTCCACCCTATAAGAAAAGTAACTTTGAAATGACCAATCTGCTTTTTGTTCTTTGTTTTTTCTTTCTTCAGCCTTTTCTGTCTATAAAACCAACCTCCTCTTCGGGGCTCATTGTAACACTTACTCTATTCTATGGAATGATGTGTTGCCCAATTCTAGAATCTCAATAAAGCCCATTGAGATCTTTAAATTTGTTGTAATTTCATCCTTTGACACAAATATTCGCTCCCTTCTCTGTGTTCCCACTGTGCCCTATACAGACATCAATTTTATCACATACAGAAAAAAAGCCCCAAAGCTCGTGCTCCTTAATGTCCCGACATAGCCCCACCTTCCCACCCTCATTCCACTAACCTCAGGCCAGCATGTTTATTTTAGTAGCACATACTACCCCCACAGAGCAAACTCTTTCGCACCTCTGTGCTTTACTTGTGCTTTTTCATCCACCTACAGTGCCCTTACCATCTTTCTCTACCAAAGTAGCTCTGGCTCATTTTTCAAGCTTGAGGTTTACTTCTGCCAGAAGCCTCCTAGACTGCATTATCAGGTTAGACACCCTTCCTCTATTATCTCAGAGACCCCAAAGCTAAGCTCTGGCAGTGAAGATGGAGAGAAAGGAACAGTATAAAGAAATATTTAGGAGACGTTATCAGCAGAACTTGTTCACTAATTGAATATGAAGAGAGAAGGGAATAGAATTGCCTGCATTAACTGGCATTCAGTCAGCCAGTCAACATGTGCTAGACATTGGAAATGCAAAAACGACTGGGAACATCCCTGTCCTCAGGAGTTCTCTGACTGAAAGAGAAGCAGACGGGTCTACAAAACGTCAATAGAGTCTAAGAAAGGTGATGATATGACAGAAGTATGCACTAGTAGCACAGAGCAGGAACTTCAGCCCAGCCAGGAAGAACCAGGGAGGTCTCCCTAGAGGAACCAGCCCTTGAGCTGAGTCTTGAGTAATGGCTAGCAGCTCGCTGAGACAGAACTGCATGAGGCTCAAGAACACAGACTTAGAAGTCAGATAGCCATGGCTTCTCGTCCCACCTCTGCTGTCTGCTAATCTCAGAAATGCTATTTACACCCTTTGCTTAAAACAAGGCAATAATAGTACCACCTCCTAAGATCGCTGTCAGTATTGTCACCTAAATGTGTATGAAGTGCTTGGCATAGTACGTGGCACCTCCTAGGTAACTCAGTAAAGGGTTATTGGTGTGTTAAGTATTACCCAAATTTATTCCCCCTTCTGTAATGTCCTATGTCTATTTATGGCATTATTCATTCATTAAGCCAAAAACCTGAATGACTTTTTTTTTTTTTTGATGGCTGGCAGGTATGAATGACATCTTCAAGGCCTCCCCATCTTTGCATTATTCCCCCGGATCCAGCTTACAGCACCTATACCTCCTAAAAGTCTCTCAAAGGCAACATCATTATCTCTTACCTGGACCACTTTAGCAGCTCCCCCAATAGTCTCCCTGCCTTCCTCTTGCCCCTTCCAGTCCATTTCCATTCTGTTGGCTAAGAGGTCTTTCAAAAACTTAAATAAAACCATGGAATCTTCAGTTTAGCTCTCCCCACCCCCACCTCCATCAGTCCCTCTGGCCACAGTTAGTCTGTGCTCTCCACACCCTTGTCCTAGCCTGTCGTCCCCCTCCAGCCTTTGCTCATCCAGTTGTTCCCAACACACATGCTTTTCCACGCCTTTGCCCAAGCCAATCCCTTTGCCTGAAATGAACATTCTTCCTTCTCCTCCTTAACTGCAAAATGCTAATTCATTGTGCAAGACCGAGTTCACAAGGCAGAAAGCTTTCCCAGACTTCCTGTGTTATGGTTTGAATGTTTGTCCCCTCCAAAATTCATGCTGAAATTTAACTGTCATTGTAACAGTATTAAGAGGTGGGACCTTTCAGAGGTGATTAGGCCATGAGCGCTCCACCTTATGGGTGGGATTGGTGCCCCTATAGAAGGGAGAGTTCAGCCCCCTCTTGCTCTCTTGCCTTCCACCATGGGACAACACAGCAAGAAGGCCCTCATGGGGCTGTCTGGTTAGCTCAGTCGGTTAGAGTACAGCCTTGTAACACCCCAAGGTCATGTGTTTGGATCCCCATATCAGCCAGCTGCCAAAAAAAGAAGGCCTTCACCAGAGGCCAGCACCTTGATATTGGACTTCCCAGCCTCTAGAACTGTGAGCCAATACATTTCTGCTCATTATAAATTACCAAGTCTGTGGTGTTCTGTTATAGCAGCACAAAAGGGACGAAGACACCCTGCTTGCTAGAGGTTCCCTCTTCTCATCTCCTCAGTCCCACTGGAAGAGCAGGCCTCCCCTTTTACCATAACTTCCTGCTTATACGCCTCGCTATGGCCAGACTGGGAGCAATTCAAGCAGAAGGGCTAGATCTAATCTTTCGCTTATCCATGGGGCTCAGCACAACCACCCAGGACACAGCAGCCAGAGGAGGCTCCCTACAACAGCCCCACCCGGGGAGATTTTAGACATCATGTCTGTAGCGGGATAACAACGGAGTGGCAGATGCTGTGCCCATTCCCATATACCTCATGGTAACTGTCGCCCCCCTCTCCAAGCCTCAGTTTCCTCATCTGTAAACGGAAGTGATGGCAATACCTGCTTTGTAGAATTACTCTATCATCTAGTTCAAGCCTCACGCATGTCCCAATTTTAGAGATAAGAAAACAATCAGAGAGGTAAAGTGACCCAACCAAGGCCTCACTTGGCAAATCTATGGGAAACAGACAAATGAGCATTTGTAGTGGAAATCTGTGGACAGTCATCAAATCTAAGCGTCCCCAAACCTGACTGCTCATCAGAATCACTTGGAGCACTTGTTAAAAACTCATTCAAGGGCAGAGCACCTATCTGCTAAGTCTTGGACCAGGTCCAGGAATCTGTATGGGATCGACTCCAAGCTGATTTGTTTTTGGAAATTCAGATCACATGGGAGCCCTCTCCACCTTCCAGTGGGCTCACGAGTATATATGTGTGATCTCTTCCTTTTCAGAAGTAATCTCCCATACCAGCCTGTAAAGTATCTGCTTATGCCACTTCTCCTGTTCAAAACCCTTTTATGGCTCCCCACAGCTCTCAGGACACAGGCCCAACCTCCTTAATATGACCCAAAAGCCGACAAGATCAAGTCTGTGCGTTCCCAACACCTCTTTCTCCTCCAGACATTTGCACAGCTGCTCCCTGATCTCGGAACATCCTTCCCAGCCCCAGCCCTCCTTCAATGGCTAATACTTAGTCATCTTTCCAGCACTCATCCCTGTATTTTAACTCCC